AGCGCAGCAGCACTTCCGCATAGCTAACGCTGGCCAGAATGCCTGGCCTGGGTTGCCGCACTTCCTTTATGGAAGTGTCAGCCTCTTGGATGCTGAGTGTGGCCTGGCTGGATCCTCCAGGGCCCGACCCTGTGCCCAGGCCCGAGACTTACAGTTGAGGACCTGGGCCCTTTTCAGTTGAGCATGGCCTGGCTGTTGGCTGTATCTGTGTAGGGGCCCCAGATAGATGCGTTGGCAGTACTGCTTTTCCCAAAGGCCGACGGCCTGCTTCTCAATGTATCGGCCCTGCTTTGTGTGTATATGCCCAGGCACAACTTTCGGGGCCTGGGCCAACTGTACGACGCAGCTTTGTGAGGCTCCCGCGTTCACTCAACCAACTGAAGCGCTACCAGAGCCTGAATACCCACATATGGAAATGTCGAATTTGGCCTGTGACGAATATTCAGGCCCACCTTCACTTAGGGCCGGCACTTGGCTTGCTGGGGTCTTAGCCCAGAACAATGTGATGTCTGGTAGGGCCACTTGAGGGCTCGTTCCTCACAGAATTATCGGCAGGGGTTGTCTGAATAATGTGAAAGGGCTCTGTGCTCTCTCTCTCTCTCTCTCTCTCTCTCTCTCTCCAGCGTGTATACACACATCACGTTTTTTTTTTTTTTTTTGGTGCGCGCGCGTGCACCTGGGATTGCCGCACTGCGCACCGCGCAGCGCACTTCACCTACGCGCTGCAAGTATGCAACCAACCGAGTAAAATAAAATAAAATAAATATTTGGTCCAGCTTTGTTAGAAAGTAGCCAAGCGGTAACAACAGATAATCTCAGATTCCTACAAACAATTCTCTTCCTACTTTCGACTAGTCTGAAACAGATTGCATCACAACAAGGAATGATTACTACCTATCTGCAGCTGTCTGTCAGTTGTTAGCAAAGTCCGTCACAGCTAACTAATCAAAAAATAAAATAAAATCATTTGCTGGTGTGTACGCAGAATGGAATTTTTGAATAATTAATAATCGAAGTGTACTGGAATCTTCCTTCCCCCTGTATTCTTCTTGCGTAATCACTTTGTGTTAACGTCCTGAAGCTCTGGTTCATCGGCGTGTCTGAAGGTGTGC